GACACTGGGAATGAAGGGAGAGCTGTGAAGAGCTTCCCACTGCTGCAGGGGGTGAAGCTGTTGCCTGTGGGTTCAGCATCAGGGGGCAAAGAGAGACAATACCTGCTCTGGCACGAAGTCTTGAGGGGAAAGGTAGTCCTTGAATACAGTTTGAACACATCAACTGCAGTGAATTTTTGTGTCCAGTGCCACTGATATTTCTTGCCTGATTAGAGGATTCCTAAAATTGAGTTCTCCATTCAGATGTCCCCTCTGCTGCCCTCCAAACCAGGCTAGTGTGACCCTTCATATTCACTCTTGCATTCACCTGCAAATCTCTGAATTAGCGAAGACAAGTGTCACAGGTGCTCAACATCTCCTGTGGCCAAGATTTTTATTTGTTATACCTGTCAGTCAGTGACTGCTCTATTTCACTGTGGACAGGCATATTCCATCCTGCTGATGTCAAAAGCATATCCATCCATTCAGCAATGCCCTATGCTGAGAAATTGCCACTGTGCAGGGAAAGAAGATTGGGATCAGCAACATTTGTCTACATAATTGCACTTGTTTCTGGACAACTGCTGGGTAAGAGGCTAACATTTTTTACTCACAGTCATTTCCACATTCGTCTGAATTTTCCTGTGCCTTTTCCTACAACAAACATTTTGATGCCACTTGGCTTCATACTACAGAAAGTGTACTAGAAACCTGAGAAAAATGTCTGAAAGGAAATCCATTACACTCAATTGAACAGAATTTTACATTAAGGAGCTGGAGTAGTACCTCAGATTCAAGGTACCTTTCTAGGAAAAAAGAAAGACCCTTTTTTCCTCATATTGTGTAACTACCATCCAGAATTCAAATATACCTGCCTGGATGTTATCTTGTCTTTAAAAACTGAAACAAAAATATATGTTCCCTTTATATCTTATGTCCATGTAGTCCGGTTCTGAAATTCCTTAAATGAGAAATAATGTTTGTTTTCTTTATGATAAGAACTCTTTTTATTTCCATAAGATAATGCATTTAGTATTTTGCTTTTTTGTTATGCTTATTAAATAAACAAATCAACATCTAAGTTTAATAGAGTTGTTGCCTTAGGCAAGCCAATATTTTACTTCCTTAACACCTGAAGGCTTTCCAAATAGCCATGTGAAGTAGAGCTGCTTGCTTCATTTCTCATTGTCTTGCAGGCAGCCTGCATAGAAAGTCATGCATTATTTTTTGATACAAGAATGGGTTTTGCTCAAACTATTTTTCTTTTTTTTAAACCACATGCATTTTTTTCAAATTAAATATGTATTTTTATTTTAAATTATCTGTTTATTTAAAATACGATCATTTAAAAATAAACATGAAATTTTAACAATGTATTGTCAAACTTCTTAAATTCAATAACTTGATTTGCATTAAATATTATACAGTATTCATGTATTATGTATCTGTTGATAAAAATTTGCTGACCATCAAACCACTGAGCTGGGAGAGTTTAAGTGACTGGAGAAAACAGCCTCTGACAGAAGTGCTTAGTCCAGTTTTGATATCTGTAGCTTCCTCTTCAGGTTCAGAGAAGGCATTTTCTTCACTTTATTCAGGTTGGCTTTATGCAGTATCTAGTTCATGCAAAGCTATCTCTTGAGAGCTGATAAAGGCAGAAAATCTTACTTTCTACTGTAGATAAAAGCTCCATGGCATAGATTGAAATCTGCTAATTCTAAAATCTTGCAGGGCACAGTAAAGAAAGAAGCACATTGTTCCGTTTACTCAGTAGAAAGAATAGCTAATTTGACTAATAAATCACTTTAATATAAGTAACAAATAAATAAATATGAAGTAAATATGAAATGTCATTCATTGGTTTCTAAGATAAAAAGTAAATACCAATAATCTGAATAAATATATTAGGAACTTTTATGTAATGGTCTAAATGTGACTAAATACAGCTCCACCTTTACCAACAGATGTACCTAATGTAAACAAAGTAGCAGCCAAAATAATCTGTTATATGACTTTCTCACGACAGTGGAACAGGATTGATTATAGTGATCAAAGACTTTTCACCCATCACCATTTAGACCACGGGAATTATGCTGCCAGTCAACAATACAGTAAGCAGGAAGAACATGATGTAAAGAAGTATACGATACTCTTTTTGTGTAATTATGTACTTCCTAGTCTAGATTATCAAACAAGTGAGGTCAGCCACCATATTATTTACTGCTACACTGTAAAATCAAAATACTTGAATGATACCAACGAGAGGAACAAATCCTGTTCCAAAAAAATAATTAAAAAGTAAATGCACAAAAGAAATACAGACTGATGCTTTCTTCTGACCCTTTCTGTTTATTTTCAACATGCTTTCCTAAGGCAGGGACACCAAAACACAGCCTACTAGCATCAGTCTCACTGTCAGACTCACAACCAAAGCAACAACTCCTGTTCTGTTACCAGTTTTCTTGCTCAAGTTGCTTATCTGCTGTGATTCCTGAAACATTTCCCTCAAAGATTAGGACCCCCTAGAATACAATTCCTCTTGCTCTCAATGAAGCAAGTATTCTTTAGCTTTAACTCAGTATGTTGCTATACCTATATGGACTGAGGTTACCAAGCAACCCAGATTGCTTGATAGAGCAAGTTGTCCAGACTCTTAGTATCCTTTGCAAATTTCATTGACAATGATATTCTGTCAGCTTCCAGGTTGTCTGAAAAATACTGAAAACACCTAATTGTGAATGTCATTAGAACCTTCTACAAAAGCTCTCCCTCAATTATGACTTCTCTTGCCCGGTATTTTCTGTGATGTGCTCCTTTAACTTGTGCTCCATTGATATTGTGTAGGGTTCATGTTTTAACATTGAATAGATGGAAGTAAACTCTCATAAATACTTTGCTGGGAATACTGTAGAGCTAAGGTAGCTGAAAGGTACTGTGGCTGGAGGAGAGGGATTTGTGTTCCAGTATTACTTAGTAGAACAGGAGATTGACCCTGTGACTATTACAATGCTATACTACAAAATAAAAGAAGATTTGACCACTATTACTCCTACCTATGCTGTGAATCTGCCTATCCTTCTCTTTTGTGTTTGTAGTATCTTCCTCAAAACACAATGTTGCTAATGAAAATCAGTTAATCTGTCTAAATAGAAAAGGAACCTCTTCCTTGAAATCTGTCCCCCCTCCCACTCCATCCATCTCAAAATGAAACCCTCCCTTTTCTCCATTCAGATTGACTCATTATTTATTATTTATTTCCTGGGTTGATGAACTGATAAATCAGTTTCATACAGAGTCCTGACATGCTTAACGCCACAGAGATTCAGTAATTCAATTATTAGGCTTGAATTCATCATGTCAAACAGCCTCAACTTCCTTATGGTCTACTTTTCATGGCAAACAAGACACAGCTTCAAAACTGCATCTTAGAGACAAATCCAAGAAGAATTGAAGCTGTTGGCTCTAACGTGTCCATCCTCCTAGTAAAATCCAAGTGAACGGTCAATTAGGTACTTATAGAAGCTTGTATTGTTATACATATCTCTGACATGTTATGGTCCAGATAGGAAAGTGAACCACACAGAAGGGCAGACAGGTAGATCACTTAGTAACAAGTGATATATTCAGTACATCTGCTTTCTGAGGAGAGAGAAATCAAAGTCATGACCCTGTGATCCTTTCAGAACCTAAATAAGACTCAAAACTTTGACTGTGTGCTTATAGCAAAACCACCAGAAAAGCAACCAAGCAAGCAGTAGGAAAGAAGAAAGCTGGTTTTGCACTTGTGAAAAGAACAGAAAGAGAGAAAAATCTTACAATTCCTTCCATAGAATGTGAAATTTCAAATGTTCAATATTTTTGTTCCTGTGAGCAGCTATTAAATCGTTCATACTTTTCACATCACTTTTTCTTCTTTTATAACAAATAATACATCGGAAGTCTTTTGTTTTGGAGACTACTGGTAGCTAGACATGCTTAATTATGATACACAGGGTTATTAAATATTAGATACTGTATGAATTAAATTCAATGTATTATCTTCTTCTTTATCTCAGAAATATGCAGTGGCAAAAAAAGACTATACCCTAAAATTTCAATACCTATCATCCAGGGGGTAATCAAATACGATTGTCAAAGCTGAATCAACCTGTAACCAGGCAGTGCATTTCATAAAATCTGTTAGCTTTGCAGAAGTGGAATATATTCCAACAAGAAGCAAATAACATAATATTTACAGTAGCTGCATGAAACTACAAGAAAAAGATGCAGTTCAGTGGTGATATGAGAATCTTCATTGCTATTTTGGAGGAGCAGTCTCTGGATATACAAGACCCCTTGCTTAAGAAGTTAGGATGAGTGGACTCCATTGTTTAGAAATAGTTTTAAAATGTGTTTTAAAATATCGTTTCTTATAGAAGTTAAACTTTATGAACAGGAAAACTTAAGTTTTAGTAAGTTCTGAAGCTCTCCTTCAACAGGTCCTGAACAGAAAGGAGTTTTCTTTTCTGTTCTTCTTAGCAAGGATCCACTTCCCTCAGTTTCCAATGCAAGGTTTTTTTCCTCTCCACTTTTCCCTATCCTACCAGTCCTTCTAATACTCTTTCTTCTAACTGTAGACGCTATCCTCAGACACTGTTATTTGCAGTAGCTTCCAAATTCTTCCAGCTTCCTTTCCCTAAGTCCAGTAAGGACTTCCAAATTGTTAAATAATTTTATTTTTTCCCTTGGAAAAGAGGTTTTTACCAGACAAATCCCCAAAACATCCAGAAATATGACTACAGTCCCATTGACATTACAAGTTGGAATAATTAGACGAGCCAGGTGCTTTATCTCAATTATATCTTTAATATTGATAGATGTCATTCTAGCTGGGAAAGTTTAAGAGCGGTTCCAAACTGTACAATTTGCAGTCATAGTTACCTGACCCAGAAAATGAATATAGTAGTCTGTATAATAAATACAAGGTAAAATACAAGTCAGGAATACCAGGGAGAAAACAAAACTGAGAATGAAGAACTTACTTGTCAGAAGACCAGTGATATTTTAAAAAATGCCGTTGTTGATCAGTTTTTGTAGCCACTCTGTGGTCTCAAGGTGTCTAAGTGTTGAGTATGTTCTGAAAAGAAAAATAATCAAGGATTTAGTAATTTTATCATGTATCAAATGCTAAAATAAAACCTGTCAAAAATAGATTGCTTTTCCATAATATGAGGTTATTAATTCATAAAATATGTTTTGATTTCACTGCTGAATCTGTTTTGAGTTTATGAGCTTCCAGAAGTTGAACTGCTGACATCAAACTTACTGGAGCGCATTCTGTAGTGCAGTCACAAATTTGAAAACAAGATCTTACTTTAACAAAGATCAAGTCAAATGGCTCATGCTCAATGAAAGAAGAGTGCTAAAAACCTAATTTGAGAAAGATCTCTGCTTGGGATATGGTACTGAGGTCTCTTTGGCCTACTAAGGAATTTTTGACAGTGATCATTGAAATATAACATAGCAAGTATTTAAATATGAGACTGATCAACTTACAGTAATATATTTATTCTGCCAACACTTATTTTAGAAACAATTACTAAAGTTCTTTCACAGTTAACTTTTAACAGTCTTTAAGTGATTTATTTAATTCCAGATTTCATTAAGCTCCAGAACTCCATTTTAGCAATCATGATACTAATCTTACATTTCAGCTGTGAAAAAGATTGAAGTGCTATGCATCTCTACCTGATATTGAAAACTATGAGATGAAATCTCCATCAAATTAGTACTGCAAAGGATTATGCATTTGTTTGGATTCCATTGGCTTTGATCAGAATATGTCTTACAGTGGCAAAATTAGCAACATCCCCTCTAAACCTCATTGAATGAACTCCTTCCTGAATCAGTTTCTTGTTAGAATTCATATTCTGTTAAAATAATCAACAATGCACTAAAAGATGAGATCCATGGCAAACATTCACACTGCCTCACATACTTGTGAGAAACCTCTGGTATAACAAAACCTATAAAAATAAAAATTGCCAGTAGAACTGAGCAACTATTAAATTCTCTCAACAATCTCCTGTTTACAGCCTTACAACTCTTGTAATTTAACTGTATTTTCGAGGCCAAATAACTAAGGTCCCGTGCTTGTACCCTGGGAAATTTATAAACACACAGTGAAATTAACTGTTAGTTGGGAAAGAGAGCTTGGAAATAGCCTTATGAAAATGTCACCTAAATCCTCATCAGATGTCAAAAAATGAAATGGTATATTAGGAAATATTAGGAATAGAATAGAAAACAGCAGAAGGAACATGATAATGCTGCCATAAAAATCCATTGCCCACCTAACATTTTAAATATTGAGTAGCTTCCAGTCATCTCATCTCAAAAGTGACAGGATAGCAGTAGAAGAATAAAGAAAAGGGTGACAGGATGATCAAAGGTATGTAATGGCTTCTGCACTAGGAAAGGAAAAAGAAAGGCTTTAGGATTTTCATATGGAAGAGGGACAAATGAGGAAAAAGACTGTGGCAGAGCCCCAGGAAAATCATGAACAGAGCTGAGAAAGGGAATAAAGAATGTTTTTCGCTGTATTTCATTCCAGAGGAAGCAGTCACAATGAAATGAGCAGTTAGCAAATTTAAAATATGAAGCCCTAGAAAGGATGTTTTCCACAAACATCATAATTAAAGGATGGAACTCCTTGCCACAGGATGTGGTGGATACCACATACATGTGTGGGCTTCAAAAAACAGTTTACTGTGGTGGTAAAAGAAATACTGACCAGGACTAATCTGTATTTTACACAAAGATGCACAATATAAACCTTCAGGTTAAGAAGCATTATGGACTGCTCTAGGATGATACCAAGGAAGGTTGTCCTTTGGTCTGATTTAAATACAACTGTTGCAGTGTCCTTATTATTGAGTTCTTAGTAATTTCTTTCTACATGTCAATGTTAGAGGGTGTTAGTGCAAATATGTGATTAAGATTTGTATAAACATATGACCCTCTACAGAGGGCCTCGTACCATTTTAAGTTCAAATAGTGCAGCCTACTCAGGCATGCGGGGTTTAGGCTAGTGTTTTCTGAGGATCCTCAGGTCTGACATCCAACTGCTACTGAAGAATAAAGGGATTGATGCACAACACTGTCATTTTATGGAAATAAGTAACCGTACTGGCTTTTCTCCCCTCAAAAAAGAAGAATATAGTCTTTCTTTTGTAATTAATGATCTTCATCTTAACTGTTTCATCTGTCTCATGATGGGAGGAATAGGGAGAGATTTTTCCAGACAAATAGATAGACATGGGACATGTAGAATTGTCACTTTCCACTTATTTTGGTGATAAAATACCATTATGTTACTGAATAATCAAGGTTGCTTAACTCTGTATCCATCTTCTGTTCATCTGATGCAGATTCATTAAAGACTTTGCCCTACTAACTGTCATGCTACAAGTAAAGGGCTTGCCAGTTCCACTATGGGATGGCTGATGTTTCCTATCAGATAAAAGGCCATGTTCAGGAATTGCTTTTAAAATACTGCGATGGAAATGTTCTAATTGACCTTGGCTGACTAGATCTCTGCTTGTGTAGGTGGCAACTCAGTTGTGAGACACGTGTATCCAGAGTGTTGATTGCCCAGACCACTCACCTTGGTTGCTATCACTATTCCCTGATGCTACCTACCCATGTCATTCTTCATTGAGAACCAGCATGTGAGAGAAGGGATGGGGGCATAGCTTGGTGTGATCCCAAACTGCTGGAAAGTGAACCAGGATTTGGGCCTGAGGAGGATTCTCTTCCAGTACTTTTCATAATGGTTACTCAATGTCTGTTCAGGATGAAAAATGTTTGTCCTAAAATGTTTAATTTCTGGAAAGCTGAATGTGTCATGCTAGCCTAAACTAATTTAGTACTTTGGCCATTGTTGTATGTGGCATACTGGCTTAGGTAGACAGAACTGTTTGACCTAGTATAGATATTTTTAGTTACTCATTTATGCAAGATACCAAAACACTGAAAGATTATAGCAGGTCTGTATGGAGTATTGTTATAATTATTATAATTTTTTTTTAATTTCCAAAATTATGGATGGTCTTGTAAGGTCTCCAGAAATAAAACCCTTCATTTATTCTAATTACCCTAGAATGTGAAGTTACAGAGGAGTACCAGAAAATACCAAAACCTCAGAATTTTCTACCCTCAAAAATTTTCTTACACACTAGCTGGAGCGATTCCTGAGATCCTTGACCAAAAAAGGGAAACTAGACTGAAGAGATATTGCAGAAAAAAGCTACTTCTGACTACTCACATTGGCATAGTGACTACTCTTGAAATTCATACTCTATACAGAGAAATGATAGCCATTCAAAACTGATGGGAAACAAATGAGTTTTACATACAAATAAGTGTGTCTTCAAAAGTTTCTTCAACAGGTTGCATCAATTAACATGAAATCATTGTTTTGTCCAAGCCAAAAGACACTCTTATGCAGGCATGTACTTACTCCACTGCCTCTCTGCTCTATAAGGGTTACTGCTCAGGTTAACTGCACACTCAGAGGAACATCTTCCAGTGGCACACAAGCAAACTGCCATGAGCCCCAGGACATCATTGCATTTGCACTGGTATTTCTGCTAGCAGAGCTGTGTTGGTCTAAGGCAAGGTATTCAAGTCCCTGACTAGCTGACAGATTCCCCAGTAAAAATCTGGTTTGTTTGGTTTTGGTCTTTTTTTGTTTGTTTAGTTGGTTTTTGTTTTTGTTTTTATTTTTGTTTGGGATTTTTTGTTTGTTTTTTTTGGTTTTGGTGGGTTTTTTTGTTTGTTTGTTGGTTTGGTTTTTGTTGGGGTTTTTTGTTTGTTTGTTTGTTTGTTTGGTTTTTTAATTGTGGGATGTTAAAAAAGCAGAAGAGAAGAGTGAGAGGGAACCAGCAGCAAAGCAAAACTGCTTTGTAATGACCATAACTCTCATCAACCCTTACTACTGCTGCAGAGGGGAGAGGACTTAGGTGTGAAAGACTGAGATCGAGCCTGGGAAAGTATGGGGGTAGGTTTTGTTTTAATTTTGCCTTCTTATGACAGTAACTGGCAAATGATCTACTTTCCTTTATTTTGACTCATGAACTTTCTTCATAATTCTGAGGAAAGGGATTGAGGGAGCAGCTGGGTGGGTGCCTAGCCACTGGCCAAGGTCAACTCACCAGATCCTTGGAGCAGGCAACATATTTATGCTACTTTGCTTTCAGTGGAAGTGTCCATACTGGGTTTGTTGCAGCTCAGTTATATACAACAGTTCTATACCTTCAGTTAACTTAAACTGAACTGCTCTGAGCAATCCTTATATAGACAAAGAATGATTCTGTTCTCTGGGAGCATCAGGATGCTACCCTACTTTCCTCCTACATCCATTATAGATAGTTGCAAATGCATTATCCAGCCCTATTTTCCACTTAGAAATTGTTAACGGGCAGATATCTGCAGACGCGTTTGTTAATTATGCATTGAATTATTTGGACAAAGCACTTTTAGTGTGTGGGTGGTTTGTCAGCTGTTTGCTACTGGCTATGCATTGTTAATAATTGTTTCTACTTCTGCCTTATGTGCCTTACGGTGCAGGAAGAATTATATTGTTCATGAATGGCCACCTCGTAGCAACAGTAATGCTTTTACTTACTGAACAGATGAGAACAACTTTCAATAAGACACAGGTGGTTAAGAAATGAAGGAATAACAGAAAGCAAATAGCTACCATGCTAGTTTGGACCTGGATTTGTTGTATGTATGTGAGTACAAAACATTCAGCAAGGCAAAGTGCCTCCTCACACATGTAAGTATTTCTCCATTCTTCATCAAATGAACTGAAATGTCATCAAGCCAAATAACTGTTTGGATTTAACAAACATTTTTGTCAAATGTTACAGCAGTAGTGAATCAGTTTATAAGAAAACAAGTTTATTGTGACCATCATTTTATCTGCAATGCAAAAAGGAGTTTTGAGTAAAAGAGCTATGGGGGCAATCAGTTAGAATAATTATATTTGCTGTAAGTTTGGACAACCACCTGAAATGATTTAATTTGCTTTAAGCTTGGTCAACACAAGTGCATTCCTCTTTTCTGATTTTT